TATTTTCAGTTGTGTTTTGAGAAAAAAAATTTGTTTGCTGTGGTTTGTGTTTTTTTTTAATTTTTTTTTTGCAATTAATTGTTAATTTTATTGACTTAGCAATTTGATTATATCTTAATTTATTATACTATCTTTTGATTAAAAATATTTTTTTTATCTCCTTTTCGAATGATCTGCATATGCACATAACTGCTTAAATATTCTTTGATAAATATTTGGACTTAGACTTGAACATCTTGATGATTAATGTGGAGACTATAATCCGTGTGAGATTTGAGTTTATCATTCTTTTTGAAGGGTTATTTTACATTTACTTTTAATCTTTATTTGACAACTTATTATGTCGTTATTAAGTCTCATTATTCTTTCAATTTGGTCGAAAACATTGAAATAATCATTTTACGACATTTTGTCCTTATAACATATGGATCATGCTATACTTTGAGAAATGATTTTAGGTCATCTTTCTTTGTTTGAGCTTCATTAAAAAAAAAGAATAATAATAATAAAAAATATTGTTTCAATTATCACTAGTTAGCCTATTGAGCCTACATAGAAAAACTTTTTATTCATTTAGCCATTTCCACTGGTGTCTCAAGAATGAATTTTATGTATTATTTTGGGAGGAAGCTATCTTGTGAATGGAACAAGGATGCTTCCTCCAAGGCAAAACATGTATGGAGTTTTGGGAAGCAAGGGCTTCTTAAATATGCCTTATGTGTGTATGTTTGTTATTTGTAAAGCCAAGAGCTTAAGATGTAATGAGCGAGACTCAATTTGTGTAACTAAGAATGTTCTTGGATAAATTTGTAAGCCTGCAGGGCACTTATTACCTGCGTTGTGTCTTTTTGTCTTGATTGTTTGATTGTTTGATTGGGATTGTTGTATTCTGCTTAAAATTGATACATAATCACAAATCAACATCTAGGGGATTTCTAGATTTTTCAAATAGGATAGTGACTTTTTGACTTTTTTTAAAGATGTCAAACTTAGCCTAATAAGATCATGTAAAGCCTTAAGAGATATTCCAGTATCATCAGCTATATCAATATTCATACCCTGAGCATCACATACCTTTCTCTAAGATGAAATCAAATGAGTACATTGAGGAAGATGCACAAGGTGATTGTGGTTGTTATCAAACTTTGACACAATCCACTTCGACAAGTCCTACTTAAAAGATATATATGCATTACAATTTGTTCTTGTCTCACTTTGAGGATTTTTTATCATCGTGTACCGTTTTTCTTTTTCCCTCTCTCCCTTCTTAAAAAAAATAAACTTTCTACTAGTCATAACACCATCTTTCTTGTTTTTGTTACAATAATCTTTTCTAATACCAAACCCCACAATTTTTCTGTATTCATTATAAAACTCATATGCAGTTTCTTCTGATGGAAACTCCAAATCAAGATACGGTGATTTATCCTTGACCAATCCTCTCATTTCTTCAATACATCCCTCAAGTCCACCATCATCCATTATACCATCCTCTATTTCGACACTAACAAATATGAAGGGAAAAAAATTAAACAAAACAAGAATTTGAGCAAAAAAGTTATAAATTAATTTCAAATGTTAAGTAATTAAACAATTCAACAAAATCAAATAAATCAATTAATAATGTAAATTAATTAAAGGATAGTGAAGAGGACTAAAAAGATGTGTAATTTGTACAGTAACATCGGAAATCTAGTACAATAGCATTGGAAATTTATTGTGTCTATAATATACAATTGCCAAATAATATTAGAATTAGTATATTATATAATATAGGGAACCCTTTGGCAAATACACTTAAAGATGTGAACCATATGCCCTCTTATTATATAATTTTTTGGTATATGTTTCGTATTTTTGTCACAAATCTTATGTCATTTTTTTTTTGTTGGTTATGATAATTTATGATTAAAAATTTAAATTCGTATTTTGTAGTAAGGTTATACATTTTTTTTATTGAAGCTTTTTTTAGACCATAAAATGCATAACATTGCTACAAAAATACATAGCATTGTTATAAAAATGTGTAATATTACCACAAAAAAACGTAACATTGCTACCAAAAAAAATATTTATGAATTATAAATTATCGTAACTCATAAAAAAATTATATAATATTTATACAAAAATACATAACATGTATACAAAAATTACATAATAAATAATTTTTCTTATAATATACAATTGTATTTCTCAATCCATTCACAAAAAACAAACCAAACCATTATACTTGTTGAACCCACTAATACACTATACAAAATAAAATATGAAACATATATACATACATACATATATATATAGAGAGAGGGAGAGATATACATACCAATTTGTTGAACAATAATGGTCTGTAAATCCGAGAGAATGACGGTGAAGCAAAGACAGAGAACACCATTCAATCCGTTTGAGAGAAGACAAAAATGTATAAATGAAAAATAATAAAAAAATAGCTAGCTTTTTTTACTCCATGTAAAGCAGGGACCTTTTGCTCAAGGGGTAGGGAAGATGGCGACTGGTAGATAGATTGTTTTGTTATAATAAAATAAGAATTAATGTAACTCTTATAAACAAAAAAACAAAAAAAACAGAAAACAAAAAAGAAAAATGGTACCGTTTCATAGCATGGCAGGCACGACAACAAGGAATGATGGACCGCAGTGACCCCTTGTTTGCTGCCGTGCCTGCCATTCTATGAAATGGTACCATTTTTCTTTTTTCTTTTTTGGTTCAAAATTTAGTAGCAATTTAAAAGCTTGCATTTATGACTACGAGAATGAGCATGAATTAATTGAAGCTTAGAATTCTTTGATTGATAAATACAACTTACAAGAGAATGAGTGGATGAAAAGAACTTGGAGAAAAAAATAGCAGTGGGCGCACATGTATATGAAGTGGGTATTTATTGGAAGAATGCGAAACACACAACTTAGTGAAAGTCTGAATGGAACATTAAGGGGATATTTGAAAAGGTGATCATAACATTGTTCAATTCTTTACTCACTTTAATTGGATTGTTGTAGATAAATGGTATAAAGAAATTTCTGCAATATATGATTCTAGACAAAAGTTGCCTAGAATGTGGTATAAAGACCGAGTTTCTAACAAGAACAAAAAAATGTCTCTAGTTTCTAATGAGAGCATGTATCCCATCTCAAAAATCTTAGATATTTGGTACGTGACGTGATAACAATATCCTTACCTTCCTAATGTTGACCTTCATAATGAAGCATCTACTTTTGATGATTTATATGTGGATGGGGCCATTTCATGTTCCTATAGCGCGGAGAAATTTGATGGAGGTCAAGGTTTTCCAGCGATGATTTAAAGGCCAACAAATGGACATGGATGATTAACCCCTTCACCAAAAGTGATTAGTGACTATTTTTTGTATAGACGTGATGTAATTTGGATGGCTTCTTCATGGATGATGAAATGTGGATGTAAATTTGATTTTGGTAATCCATGTATGTGTAGATTATTGACGTGTAAGGTTGTAAATTTGATTATGGATGCCAATCTATTCAGCACAAAATGCATCCATATTGCAATAGCACAGAGCAATTGATTGTGTACCATTGCCAACCAAGTTTAAACAATACAAATTTGCTCCAATTGATTGTGAGATTGTAACATGCCTAGTGCCTAATAGATTCACTATGAATCGATTGTAAACAATATTCAAGCAAATTATACAAGGAAGTCAAACTTTGGCATTTATTTATTTATTTATTTTTCTGTTTGTCATGGCCATGGGCTCGAAAATGGATTGGCCAATTGATTGGTATTTCCACTTTCTTGCAAGAATTGATTGACTAATGAGTCCCCAATCAATTTTCAAATTGATTGGAAAATGCACTACCTTGATAGAAATCAATTGGCCAATCCATTGGCCATAATCCAAATAACAACTAAAAGCCAAAATCTTGAGTGTTTAGTCAGTCCATGGGCTTACAAATTAGAAATGATTATATAACAAGGTCTGAAGTTAACAAACTGCATCATTCACAATCTCCTCATAAATTACTATTCAATACATTAAACATCAAGCACAATACATCATATTTCAAATATCAAGCAACTTATCTTCATTGACAATTTTCAAAAATTTAGAAGGAAAAAAAGGCAATTTACTACAATATTTCAAACAATAAACAACCTGGTGTGGTCATATTTACCAAAACACCAACCATAAAATTTTTTGTATACACAAAACATATCATACTAAACTCCCGAAAGTAAGAAAAAAGTGTTCATAAACAAATTGGGACAACCACAAAACAAATTAGCATATTCAACTACAAAAACAATGAAAAGGCCAAGGTCAAGGCTCCTTAAAAAATTCATCTCCGTCTACAACATCTTCTGTTCCCGACTCTTATTCATCTCCCTCATCATCATCATCTTCATCTCTTCCCAACTCTTCTTCGTGTTCCTCATCCTTACCTTGTCCTCCATCCTCATGAGTATCTACAATTTTTTTTTTTTGTCAATTCATTCAATGTCACTTACACAGATTTTAGTTCCTCGTGCATCTAGACCTACCTTTTGTCCATACAAGCTTAGGTGTTTTCCTACCGCTTCACCACATCAAGGACCCTACCAATCCGAATGGCTATACCTGCTAAAGAGGACAAAATAAAAGTCTGGGCTAGTGCAAATTCAAAATTGAATGCATGTTGATTTTTTTTTTTTTTAAAAAAAAAATTGTGACGGTGGGTTTTCTGCAATTGGTATTTGTAATCTTCACTACTGTAGGTTCAGTGTAGATTCATACTCATCCAGAGATGGTATAAATTTGAACAGTGGTAAACACAACCACCCCACACCCTACTACATCAAAGAATAAAACAAGCAGACCCTCATAAATCTTAGATGGTGCCCAAACCTCT